CAAACGGGCGAGGAACAGCTGAGATACTTAGAGAAAATGGTTACGCGTTGTTGTGTTTTGTGTTGCCGAGTAACAATAAAGAGTAGAAAAGTTTTTTTTTAGATTTCCATCTGCGAAGAACAAACATACTCAAAGACAACTCGAAACTCTCAATAACAACACTTTTAACTATCGTTGGATTTAAGACATGATTTACCTGTTAGGACAAAAGAAATCGACGGCTTAAGTTTCCCCAAAACCAGCAGTTAGTCCGACCAGCAGTGAGATGTGGCTGCTGTGTGACAGTAGATTTGGTTTCTCAAAGATGCTAGCAAAGCACCCAACCCGATCTCACTCTGAGGTCATCGCAAACCGGCACTTGGTCAGTGACTTCCGGCATCAGACACCAACACACTTTCAAGTCGGCGTGATACACCAGCGGTGGTGTCAGTGGAAGAACCGTGTTGGAGTTGTGAGTGAGTGACTGATTTCGAACACAGGGTTAGATAAATGGTTAGCCTTAACCTGATTGACATGTCCTGCATCTTTACTTTTAAATTTGAGTCTAAATTCGCTTTATGTACTTGTATCAGCAGATGACTGGTTGTGTTCCAGGGTCCTCACATCTTTAAGCAGCTTATAATTTGCCAACATGACCAGACATTTGAAAAACACACATTCTCATTTTCACATTAGTAAACCTTGTTAATGCCTTTTGTTCTCATTACTGTGTGCATGCTAACTAATCAAACCGATTTTCTAACTTGCAACAATATTTACTATTATAAAGCCAAGAGTCCTGTCATTACCAGAGTCACTACCAGATAAAAGGAAAGTGAAGCAGCACCACACTGATGACATTAAACCTGCTGACAGGACATAAAAACCAACCCAGTTCTCTATTATCCCGATATGGCTCCTGCAGTTATCAGGTGAGGAACCCCTCATGGTGCCAAGAATTACTATTTTTTATTAAGAGCGCATCATTAGACGCACAGTCTGTCCTCCTGACCCCAGCTCTGTGTTGGACAAGAGCTAATCAGGGCCGAGGAGGAGAACTGCGAATGTGCTTCCTCCGTCACAACTCCCAAACCAACGTCTTCTCCGCCGGACTCCAATCAAAGGGAGCAGAGGTCATTAGGCGGCTCTGGACCTCCTTTTCTTTATAATTACACCCTCCTGGATTGACCGAGCACCAGCTAGCCCTCTGCTATTTGCGGTAATTAGTCCAGAATGTGAGCTGTCAACATGCAAAAATCGTGCCAGTAGGCCCACAATGCCACGGCCACCCCCACTGTGTTCAACAACAAGCACCTAGCCTCGGCCACTGGAATGCATTAACTTTCTCCTCTCTCCCTCTCCTTTTTTTTTTCCCTCGGCGACTCGTGTCAAATCCAGGTCCCTCAGAACAAAATCTTAATAATTAACTGGCAAATTTTAACATGATTGCTTGTGACACACCTACTCTGGTAATTATTGCTTTGAGGCCATGTGCTAATGAAATTAATGCATTCATTGCCCCAACAAATTAGCATAACTCAAACAAATGGCCCACATTTGAGACCACGTTGCAAAAGGGGAAAACAACATACAAGAAAAAGCAGCATCAACAAGAAAAAAATAAATAAATAAAAAAATAAAAAACAACTAGAAAATGAAGCGGCTGGCACATCGAATTCCAGACTGTATGATGAGCACTGCTTTCACAAAGTCTTAATGGCTAAAGCCTCTTAATGTTAACCAAGGGTGATTGTGGTAATGCATTACAGAGTGATAGCAGCGCAAAATGATTATCACTATCATCATTACAGCCATTGCTGATGTACATATACATCTCTCTGTGGACAAATATTAAATGGCCGTGCTACTGCAGACATTAAAATGTTATTATACTGATGCATTAACTTACTGTAGCAGAGTTCATATCAATATACAGTAGATGCTTCCCAACAATCATTTTCTAAATGGCACTGCTGCCACATTCACCAGTCCTGCCACTAACCCCTGTTCATGGCTGTTTGGACACTTGGCGGGATGTCTCTGCTCGCCATTAATAATTGATAACGATGCCATCAGTACAATGGACGGAGACAAGTGCAGCGGTCAGTTGGAGATGCTGCAGAAAGTGCGAGAAATGTCCCCTCTTAGGTAAAAGAGGAGCAGGGATGGTTGTAACACCTAAAAAATGTGTTTGCCTGCAGCCAAATGCTGTCAGGGAAACAGCCAAAAATGAAAATGACTTCCATTTAAGCAACAGCAAGTTACATTATTACAGCCAGGTGAGAGTCTGCAGGTTAACATGACAGCTCACGGTGGTATTTCCAAAACCTCTCTTAATTTATCATGGCAACCTTTGTTTGGTACGGTAAATCAGTAAACTACAGCACAGAATTATTTCAGGTTATTTTAGGTTTGGGCCAATTTGGTCTAAGTGTTACTTACTTATATTTAAAATAAATAAATGAATCAGTGTATGTGTGTGTGTGTATATATATATATATATATATATATATACATATATATAAGTAAGTAAAAAACATTTTACTGTTCTCCAGCGAGTGCAAGTTTTTGGCTTCAACTGATGAAGTCATCAGTGCTGTCGTCTGCGTGGGTCCGCATTAAAAATGGTTTGTTATATCACTTTAGTTCCAGTGACCACACAGCAAGTTAAACAGCTGTTGCAGTTGAATGTGTGGTCATTTTATATCGTCTGGACAAGGGTTACAAAGATCTGACAAATTTCTCAAATTTTTTGAAGGAAAATAAAGCTGAGGATTTGGGCAAATTTCCGAAAAATATTTTTCACAATTTAAAAATGATGAAATTAAACATTTTAACAGCGTCACTTGGGGGGGGAAATTTCTTATGGCATGTTATAGTTAAAAGCATGTCTAGGATTGCAAAGAGCTGGTAAATTTCTAACTAATTAACTAACTAATTTTGGGGAAAATACACAAAAATCAGAGTCTAAAAAGGAGGAAGTCCATGGAGAAGATAAAGAGGCCTGGCAGGGAAATTACTTTTTGGAGAGAACCATTTTTTCTTTTGGAGGGGTGGTCATAGGGATTTTTTTGTTTGTTTGTTTTTTGTTGTTCAATTTAAGTTCCACACAATGCTAAATAAGTCATCTCAACTGCATTGTTGATTTTTCATTTCTGTTCGAAGGTTTTACGTCAGCTTATGATGTTAAAAGGTTTGTTTTAATGTGCCTATGACTTGGCAAATTCAGCCTAAGCAAAGGGAATCGTGTGTTTTTGGAGTGACAAGGTGACATGACAGATTTCATCTTTCAAGAAAACTAAAACTGTGCCATTATTATTATTATTATTAACATTTTGAATTTGAAGCTGATGAAAGAGTTGTCCTAACTGGCTGCAAGCAAAGTTCTGAGATGAACTTTTATTGGACGCTGTGTTTGTATTTATTCCCGTTGGTCATGTTGGAAGTGCCACAATGGACGAGGAACGTCTAATTCATTAAGTTGAAAAGAGACGTTATCTACACCTTCTTATTTCAAGGGTAAAAGACCTTTGCTAATAGCAAGCTAGGCTACTTGCTGTTGGCTTTGTTGTTTGTCATTTCCAGCAAATATCACAACATAAAACATGTCTTTTCTGTTTTAAAAAGTAGCGTTACAAACGTAGGAAGATAGCAAGCAGGCTACTCACACATCTTTAAAGTGGTGACGTCTCCAAATTTTTACACCAGCCCAACCCCAATAATTACAACATTCTCCAGCCAGCAGCACACAGCAAAAGTTAACAGCATGTCTCTGAGCAACCCTGGCTCTCAAATGTCAGCCAACCACTGCCAGGGGAAACACCCACCATCACAGGCTGCGAGCTGAAATGTTGTTTTTACAAATATGTCCAAAAACTGTTTTATCCTTTTCATAAAAATGGAAAATGTGCACGATGCCCACAGTATCATTAGAGTTTATACTGACTTATACACAAACTGAGAGTTTGCCTTTAAAACCTGAAACCTCGAGACAAACTCATCGTCCTGTTGGTAACAAACTCCAGCTGCATATAACAGAGAGGTGTTGATGTCTGTAAAAGAAAGCATCACACGTTGGACCAACTGGTCTCTGACCCCAAATGGAGACAAAGACAAACTCCAAGATGAATAACAACAATCATAGGAGTCCTCCCCTCAGACTAAATGTTTCATTTAACTTGCATCAGTCGGTGTCAATCTGTGCATGTGTGTTTGTGTGTTTGATTTCATGTTTAAAATATCTTAAAATCCCGAAAGGTCGTTGTCAGAGTAACTGTGACATTCTCCTCCACAGAGTGTATTCCGCCCATACATACACACAGGAGCAGACAACAAGGATCACATTTTCAACCAGCCGCCGTGGAGCAAACAATGAATAAAACACCCAGTAGCCAGCTTCTGATGCTTTGACCCGCGGCACAAGCATGAATACATACAACACATCAACAGCATACTTCCTAATCTGAGATGGTTAGTAATGTGGCCACCTTATCCAGCATGCAACCCCATCTGTGATGACACATCAGCTCCACCATTTCATACGAATAAACTCACAAACACGAGACACAATGTGTTGACGGAAAATTAGCATTAGGAATGTACCACAGGAAAGCGTGATTAATTTCTGCTCATGAAATGAATACAGATTTGGTCATTAGATGGCTTGTATCCTTTGCCAAATATTGTAATGTTTCTCCCTCCTCTTCCGCAGCCAGTGTTCTGCTGCAATAATAAGGAATATAAGACAGCTTACAGCTCATAAGCAACACAACTGCTGGAAAATCAGCTAAATCACAGAGCAAAACAAAGACCTGATTGCTCATTAGTATTATGAATCTGCTCTGTTTAAATCTGCTTTGTGAGATGCAGCTACTGCTTAATGACTTAAACGGTGTTTGTTCAAATGCTTGCTACCTACATTTCACACAGGAAGATTAAAAGAATGAGACATCATCAGATCTCTCATTGGATTTTCATAATACCCTCCCTCTAAAATCACACTCACGCATCAATACACTTACCTTGGCTTTGCAGATAATGCAGCGCAGCCTGTCTTCACTCCCACTTCCCTGTAAGGAAACAGTATTTAAAGACATTTAGAGACAGAGAAGCATCAGAACATCAGCTCTAAAGATGGGCCTGCTGCAGAATCACATGCATGAGTGACAAATCATTTGTTTGTGTTTTGATCAATAAACTAATTATGTTTGGAAAATGTGATCAGAGTCCTGCACGAGTCTGATTTTCAGAACCCGATCCCGCCCTGGCACCTGCATGCAGTGTCAGAAATTAGCAAGGGCCATGGGCCATTTGGCCTGCAGTTTATCCAAGAATGCCCCCAGAAGTCATGTTCCAGGGGCCAAAATTGCCCCCAGGTTTTCGAAACAACTATATGTATTTATATTTTTAACAGTATTACAATCTGACATTAAAGTATAATTTTATTTTCATTAAATTAATTTACCGTCACATCTACAACTCATTTTCCAGACATAATCAAAGAGATTGCACTGATTACGTGAGAGTAATCTGACAGAGAAGGGGAGGGGGCTTTGCTGTACCATAAGTATAAATTAACCATTTCTTGGGTGATCTGTGTCTACACAATGACAAATTAATGAAAAATTAAGATAGAATGAATGTTAAATTTTAAATTAACTTACTTCCAGGATTGCATCTAAGGAATTTATAGTAATTTGGCCTTTTTAACAGTAAAAGTAACTGTAATGTGGTGAAACATTAGTACTGCTATCAGTAGATTAATGGTTAAATAATCACATTTAAACTGGTTGAATTATAGGAACTCTGAGTGATATTTTGCAACCATAACTTTATGTAACCCATTATTTGTTTCATTTATAGTGGTTTTTACTGAAGAGTGAAGACACTATCTTAGTTGGTTTTGCTTTTCATGTGCTTATTGTTAGAACATAATTACAATTTTTTGATGGCCCCCAAACATTTTGAAAATGCCCCCATATTTTAGACCGCGGGGGGCCAAAATTGCCCCCAAAATATTTTGTTAATTTCATACCCTGCCTGCATGTATGACCAATTCAACCCTCTGAATCTTCAACACAAGATCTGCAGCCCGAACTGAAACCACAAACCCTATAGTATCTGTCCGCTGCTCAGATAATTCTGTCCAGCAGCGTGTTTAAAATGATACTTTTGAGACATTTTATACATGTGAAACTAAGAGAATATATTTTAAAACAAAGGTAATTCAGAAAGTACAATTTCTGGGCGTTGCAGGTAGAGCAGGCGCCCCATGTACAAGGCTGTTGCCGCAGCAGCCTGGGTTCGAATCCAGCTTGTGGCCCTTTGTTGCATGTCATCCCTCTCTCTCCCCCATTCATGCTTGCCTGTCCCGTCCATTAAAGGCAAAATGCCCCCCCCCCCCCAAATATCTTTAAAAAAAAAACAGAAGAAAAAAAAAAGAAAATACAATTTCAATCAATATATCTTTATATTCTCATAATACTGAGCAGCACATGTCCACAGTTTGTGTGCCTGTTTGTAACACACCTGAGTGACGCGGCTCGCATCTCAGAGATAACACACAAAGTCAGCAGTCAGAAAAAAAAATTCAAAAAAATTGAAAATATATATTTAATATCCAACACCTGTGATCGGCCATGCCCGTTCTTTGTTTAACCTTTTAAAACCCACCTACCCATCAGCAACCACCCTGTTTGTCTTGCCGAATCGTAACAACTATAGGAGAAGAACTATAAGGTCAAGAGGCATGTGTGAGGCTTCATTTGAGACTTAACCCTCTAGTTTCTGAAAACATGCTTGTTTAAACTTTGGCTAAAACACAATTTAAACTACAAAGCAAAGGGACTTGACACTTTGAAGCTATATACTGAACACAGAAATAAAATTACCACTACCACCCGCAAATCACTGTTTTCTTTTTGCAGGTCAACCAGCAAGTATACAAGGGTGCCCGACAGGATGCAAGGCTCTGAGTGTGAGTGTGAAATAAATAAATATATAAAAAAAATAGAAAACAACCAAAATTTCAAACAACACCACATGTCAGAAATCAATAAATAATATTTAACACTGTGGTGCTTCCTAAAGTGTTGTGGTGTTTTCTACTTTGTTCATGTGTTTTGTCTGATGTTGTTGTGTTTTGCACCTCCAGGCCACCATATGTATAGTAATTAATGCACAAACATACATGACTGTGTTGTAAAAGTAATTCAGTGACAGAGAAGCATCAGAACATCAGCTCTAGGTCTGCTGTACAAACACATGCATGAGTGAGTGACAATGTGTTTGTGTTTTGATCAATAAACTAATTATGTTTGGGAAAATGCAACTGCATCCTTAACCCAAAGGTGTGTGAGATGCAACAGCAAACAAAATAGGAAATTACCTACATTTAGAAAACGCATCTAAAATCGTTGTTTTTTTGTACTGAGTTAATGTTTTTTGCCAGTATTGTTACATTCTGCACCTCCAGGCCACCGTACATATAACAACAGACATAAAGCTATGTTATAAAAGTAACTTAGTGACATAGAAGCATCAGAACGTCAGCTCTACAGATGGACCTAATGTAGAATCACATGCATGAGAGGCAAATCATTTGGTTGTGTTTTGATCAATAAACTAATTATGTTTGGAAAAATGTAATTCTTTAATCCAAAGGAGTTAAAGATGGAAACAACACAACAAAATAGAAAAATACAACTACATTCAGAAAAAAGAAATATCACATTGTTGCACTTTTTTAAGTGGTTTTTCTCTTTTTGTGATTTTTGTCTAATGTTGGCAACTCTAGGCCACCATAGTTATAGTTATTAACCCTTTGAAACCCTAGCAAATCGGCTTGATTTCTTTTAAAAACATGGGAGCAACTACAGAAATTACCCAAAAAAATTTAGCAAGAAATTAGGAGAACATTCAAAATAAGAAAATTAGCTTTTTGTTTTTTTTTCTTAAACAAACAAAATGACCTGAAGGAATGAGGAAATGACCTGGAAAGAGTGCTTAAAATATAAAATAACTCTGTAATATAATTTTAAAAAATTAATAATAATTATAAATAAAGTTATCCCAAGCTTTTTCTTTTTTCCCTGTTTTTTAAAAATAATTTTTAAATCTTTTTTTTTTTTTTTCAGTTTGTGGGACATTTCTAACCAAATTGCTCATTGCCTTTATCCCATTTTCCTTAAACAAACCGCACCAATTTGCTCAGGGGTCAAAGATTTAAATACTTGCGAAAGGCGTCTGAAAGCAACACAAGAAACGTGATATCGCTCCAGGTCTCAAAGGGTTAATAGACAGATATACATGACTATGTTGTAAAAGTAATGAAGTGACAGTGAACCATTGAAACAACACCAAAGAAAAGTCAAAAAGTATTTTTAATTCATGCTATTAAAACATTTTGTCCAAGATTTGCACCGCCGGACCACTGTAGATTTAGTAATTATTAGACAGACATACATGAATATATTGTTTTAATGCACACACTTGAAGTACCACTTCACATGACAGAACTGCACAGGAAACAAAAATAATGTTGGCAACGCTCTTCAGGCTGGTGCTAACTGTCTGAAGATGCTAATAACAAGAAAAGCACTTGTACAAACAAACTGCCAAATCCACTGCTAATATGCCAGGCATGTAGGAGCACATTTTGATAGATGTTAATGGCATATAATTATAGAACACTGCTATTAGGCAATGTGATTTTATAAAGAGGACCATTGCCCCTGGCACTGTGGCCTGATTGCTGTGAGTGTTGGGCTAATGAATGTAAACCAAGTCTGTTTGCAGTGATGAGAATTATCAACCCATGAGAGACAGAGTGAGGTGGGGGAGGGGAGGGGAGGTTTAACTCACTATTCACACCACTTGCAATTAAAGGGAAACATAGGCATGCACACTCTTTCAGACAAGGGCATGCTCGCTGACATAAACACACACACACACACACACACACACACACATGTCACATATAGAAAACATATCTAATGCATGTCAGCATGTAAACTCATCCTCTCAATATGTTTTTCACGTGTTCACACTTACAGCTATATTTAGTAGGCGAGTTGTTTCCAAACCCCCTTTTTCCTCACTTGTTTTCTCCCTCCTACCTACCACGTATTTTATTTCAGATGGATGGGATTACAAATCCTGAGGAGCATTTCTTTTTTTGCAGACTACCATTCCCATAAACTTCAATAGATTGAAACCAGATGTATAAAAATGAGAAACATATTTATCTATGAGGACAGCAAGTGTATGCCATTACTTTCCAAAAAGCCTGCGTCCTTGCTCTGTATCTTCTCAAGCCGTCACTGGGCCGGGCAGTGAGACACACCAGGCCGCGCTCGGCTGGTGCGGTGCGAGCCATACAGTCCTCCCATGCCCTTGTACTTTGTGCTGCAAGGGGTTTCACCCCTCTAGGAATGCACTCCCTATAATGAGGGTCAGGGGTCAAAGTGCTGCCGCGCCTGGAGGCTGGGATCTCCTAGGCGCACTCAGTCACTGACTCTGTCCCTATATTTAAATCCCGCCTCAGGACATGTTTTTCAAAGGGCATCTCCTAACTAGTTCCTGGTTACTAATTAGTTTTGCGCCATGCTATTTGTCTTTGGGAACCTGAATGGGGAAGGAGAGGGGGGGGGGTCTAAAAAAAGATAGCGTATGGTCTGCCTCAGTGCAGATGATAATCATTCAGATAGTCCTCTGCTGCAAACATGCTGAAGTATGTATCAACAGTTGTGGAAATGAACGCCAGCGCTGTTTTGTTGTGCTTGAATTCAGCCTGCCCGCTGTTTAGTGACAACATCTGTGTGATACTGTTGTGGCTGAAATTAAATAAGGACGTGGAATTTGCCCTTTTTTTCTGTTCAAGCTGCTTTTAGGAGTGGTAACGGTGCATGCTATCACTCCCAGCTGGCTCGCTGTCTCTCTCTCAAGTCAAATCATTATTGGATTACATTTTCTGGCTTCATAAAATGCGGTTAAGAGGCACTTTAGACATATGTGCATGACCTGCTTTCCAGAGATGGCTATCAGAGCAAAAGTGACAGGTCAATTGCTGATTTCTGTTCTGTAAAAGGGAAAGGGGCTCCCTACCCTGAGCACTCTAAAAGGTCGCACGCTCTCTCTCTGTCTCTGCTTCTCTCACACACAAAAAACTAAAGTAGTCTCGTAGCGTCGGCACACACTCTCGGCAGAGAGCGTGGCTCTGTGTGTGCGTGCGTGCCTGCTTCATGAGCCTGAGCGTGTGTGTCTGTATATAATTGTATAGTGGGAAGACACACACTTAATGGAAGTGGCTCTTCACTCTGACAGCTGGGTGGTGCAGATGAAAGGTCTGCTGTAGCATGTTGTCTACCACTTGTGGAGTATCCAAAGAGACCCGGAGCTCAAAGGAGTGGATGGCACAACAGCAAACCGTTAAACAGCAGACGCATATTTCATTAATATACAGTCATTACATGTGATAATAACTGAATTATGCATTATGTACAGTATAGCGACTTACAGATGACGTGTATATTCTGTGTAGTCAGATCCAGATGTTGCTATTTAGAGCTGCGCTCTCTATGTACCTCATATGGAAGCACAGATACTGTACAGTCCACAAGTGCATAAGTGACAGATTGATTTAATTTTCTGTGTATCTGCTCTTTGGCTCTCTAGTCAAAATGGCATTTGAGTGTTTTACTGCTGCACTTTCAGAAAGCTGCGTGACTTGTGAGATATGGCTTTAAAACATATTGGTCAGTAGTGCTGCAGCAGATTCCTAGACATCCTGACTTCAAGTTGCTAGCATGGATTAGACTCCATAAATACTTTGATACTACAATTCCCATAAGGCAACAGCATCTCTTCATCAGATCCTCACCGCCTGTTAAATGCCCACACAACGCCATGCTTCCAGTTTGTACCAGTCTGTTGTGTACAAACTAGGGCTTTTAAAATAACATCTTTATTTTGATTAATTAATAACACGAAATAAAAATAACACGTTAAAAAGTTCTGTGGTGCCCTTTGACCCAGTGCGGCATTGAAGGCCACAGTGTCACATGATGGAAGCAGACAAGACGATGCTGCTTGGTCCCATGATTTAGGAGGTCCGCGCGGACTTAAAGCGGACGTCTGCAAGCCCAGTGCGCACAAAGCTCAGATTTTACAACTGCGTGGACTCCACTCCGCGCACCGGTGTCACTCAAAAGACCGCTTGGCATGTGTTTTTCACATCGCTATGACAGAAACGTGCAAGAATTGGGGGTAATGTAGTGTTTCACAGACATTTTTACAGGAAACTACAACGCAGAAGTGCGCTCAACTATGGAAGCCCGAAAGACTGCGGACAGTCCTCGCGCAGTCCGCTCCGCTTATACTGCGCCCGAGTCTGTGAACACCTTAAATTAAAACCCTTGGCGCACACTGCAGCACAATCAAACACATGTGCAACTCAGAGCATCAGAAGTGTCTCTGACACCAGACTCAGAGCGGCTCTGAGTGCGCTCGTGGCTCGTTGATGGGGTTAGTGTTGCATTTAGGGCCCCTGAGTCTGAGTCAGTCTACCTGCGACCGACTAACTAACTCCCTTACAAAATGGACTGCAGACCACTTTGAGTGGTAGAGGACAGGGGGACAATTGTGTCCAAAATTCAGCAGCTTTACTACGACACATCTGACAAAATTCATTTGAATTTAAATTTTTTAGCAAAAATTGATATATGCGATTAATTCAGATGAATTAATCACTGAGCATTTGACGAATTAGATTAATTATTTAATGGCTTGACAGCCCTAGTCAAAACATTTTGCTTGTGACAATTAGTATTAGCATTATCACAGTTAACTATAGCTGTAAATGCGTCATGCTAACCAAGCTAGCAGTTAGCATTAGGGTTAGCTCTACCCTCTCATCCAAATATGGTCACTTGTGGCTCCAAAAACCCAAGGCAGTGATGGTGATGGTGGCTAGCTCTGTTTCCATGTTCACCCAATCCTGAGAAAAATATTTATTTGCTAGCTAGTCACTAACTTTGTCAGTCTGCCGTTCAGTGCTCATAGTTTATGTTGGGTTTATCCAAGCGTTTTTTGCTGATAGCAGTTTTCTGCTAAACTGGGTTAATAAAAGACGCACTCTATGACAGTGCAGAGACGCCAAGATGTGGAAGACCTGGAAATGCTGACCAATCAGAGCAGACTGGGCTTTTTCAGGAAGGGGACTTACAGAGACAGGCACAGGGTGAATACACGTGTTCCAGCACAGACAGTATGAGGAAGAGAACGTGTTTTTTGATCGTTAAAGCATAAACAAGAAACCTAAAATATAAGTATGAACCTGAAAATGAGCAGAATGGGTCGTTTTTAAAAATCTCTGTAGAGCCGAGGTAAACTCAAAGCTGGACGATAACATTCTGTGGGTTCATGACCCTTTTTATACGATGCATTTGATCTACTGTTTATATTAAAATATGAATTAGTGCAGCTTTCATTTACAGATTATTGTAAGCTATGATGACCAGTTTTTTCAACCAGTGCTGGCGGTATAATAATGTGATTATTATGATGCCCTTTAAAGCAGTAGAGCAGTGATTATATCACATATAAATAAACAACATCTGTCCATGCAAACTAACAGGTTCCTAAAGCGCAGTTTCATGTCATGTGACATAAAAACTCATTTGCATACAGACAAGGTTTATTACTTATGTGAAAAATTGCAGCTGAGGTGTAAAAATCTGCAGTTAAATTTACATTTTCACATCAACACACCTCTTCACTTACTTTTTAACTTTAACTTTTTTATTTCTGGGAATACTTATACAGAGGTAATTATACATTTTTACAATTCTGGCAGCAGCAGCAGCAGTTTGCTGGGAATTAATGGAGGAAGAGTAATTAGCATGAGCAGCAATAAGCACCGTGACTGAACAGAAAGAGAAATGTATGCCACCTACAGAAACTTCCATTTCATTAGCTGAGAAGAGTGCAAAGTGATCTTTTGGGAGGTGCAGTGCAGAAACACAGCATCAGTGACCGCTGTATCAATACAACTACTGGTTCAAGGAGTGCTACAGATGTTAATGAGCCATTCTGGGGTAGGTGACAGGTGTCGGGTGCATGATAGCTTCCTGGATCCCTGCCAGTCCATTATGAGGCACTTCTCAGCATTTCAGCTGTGCTTCAACTGTATAACGATGACGTGTTATCATTGTTAGCAACCCTCATTAAAACTAATTGGTATTGCTATTTGAAAGGTAGCTCATTACCTTGAGGCAAACAGCAACATTTTGTCTCAATAAGGAATGCTAACATGGCAAACACTTTTTATTCACCGTTAGAAGACCAACAAAGACATTTTCCCCCTTCACAGTCTGACAAATGGCTGAGGAGGAGGAGGAGAAGCAGCCAGACTGAAATATCAAGGTTCCCTACATGGAAAGTATTCTTACCTTCTGGATCCACGTGGACAGACACACGTGATGGGCAAGTAAATTCTTGCAGTCGCAGAAATTCCTCAGTGGGTCACTAGCTTGAAGTTCAACATCCCTGCATATAAAGCACTCTGACGTCTCTGTAGAAGAAGAGAAGAAGATAGAGGTTATCAATGGTTTAGCACTGTTTTCACATCACATCACAGGCTGAAGTTAAAGGGTAACTGCAGTGTTTCCCAACCTGGATCCTATTTGTCCATGTGTTTATGTCTGTGTGACCAATACACACAACAGTTTTTGAAATGGGTCCAGTTTAGAGTGAGAGCGCTGCAGCCAGCAGCAGCAAAATACGCTGCCATGTAACCACACGGGCATTTGTGCACCATCAATTTACGTCCACTATGAGATGTTTTTGCCACTGACAGGCTCAGGTTATTATTCTAAGTGTCTAACAAAATTTAGAAAAGGATCCCTACAGAGATAGTCCTCTACCTTAAAGCCCAGAAATCGCCATAATCAAACCGGCCAGACTCCACAACACTTTACCATCGTAAAACACAAAATAAAGCTCACAAAAGTCGTCTTGATTGGTCTCTCTACTTTGCCTGCAATCAACAACTGTGGTTCGACACATTTAACCCTTTGATATCCACACCAAGAAATTGGTATGGATATCAAAAAAATGTATTTTATTTTATTTTATTATTTGCACTTTTTATTTCCTTGGGGCAATAAATAACAAATTATTATTATCTTTTTTTTTTTTTTTTTTACAGACACAATAGCTTTTAAAATATAGGCCTCTACCAAGCGGTTGAGTCACTTCATTTGTCAAACAGAAAAAGAAAATAAAAATGACAAACCATGTACTGTAATAATGCTTGTTAGATGTTTGTATACCACCATATGTCAATTTGTTAGCATTATTTCCATATATTTATTTTAGATATTTACCATTACAGTGCATCTTAGAAATGGTAAAAAAAAAAAAAATTAAAAAATATTTTCATCATAAATAAAATGGAATAACATTAAAAATGTGGTATTAACAACCGTGAATAATCACCCTTTTTTATTTCATAAAAACTGTAAATTTATTATCTTTGCATCACTGCCTTTATGATAAAATGATAATGTAACCATTTAGTTAAGTGTGGCTTTAAGGCAGTAAAAAAAAAAAAAAAATAAGACTTACAAAATTCTTCCAGTATAAATACTGGATTATGTTAATGTATCATTAACCCTCTGAAACCTGGAGTGACATCACTTTTCTTGTGCTGCTTTTTTAAGTATTTAACCCTTTGAACTCTGAGCAAATTTGTGTGATTTCTTTCAAAAACATGGGAAAAACAAAATAAGCACCTCAGCAAGAAATGTTCCAAAAGTTGCAAAAAATGTATAGAGCTGGATTTTTTATTTTTTTAAAAAGGGGGGAAAATAGCTAGGGAATAATTATATTTATTATTACATATTTAAAATTATGGTACAGAATTATTGTAATTTTTAAGCACATTTTCTAGGTCATTTCCTTGTTTGTTGGTTTTTAAACTTTCTCTCTCTTTTTTCCCACCCAATTTTCTTGTTTTTATTTTTTTCCTTTTACTAATTTCTTGCGAATTTCTGGGCTGATTCCCTCTCTTGTTGCTAACTGCCTTCTTCCCATGTTTTTTGAAAGAAATCAAGCCGAACTGCTGCCAGATTTCAAGGGTTAAACAACAATGAGTGATCAGAAATGTTTTAATTTTGTTCCAAACTGTGAATTTTAATGACATTAGCTTAGCATCACCATCAACTGTTTGGTCAAGCACATTTTTAAATAATTTGGACCTCTAATAGACTTATTTTTCTACAGAGATGCATGAATCCGCCCAATAAGACCTCTGGAACTATAACATGTTATTAACATGCCTACCTTTGAAAATCCCACCACTCAGAGCCCTCATGTCTGGAGTGACTTTTTTTGTTACCAACTTCCTGTAGGGGACGAACTCAAAGGGACTGTTATTTAAAGACACAGCGACATAAAGTGGATTCCTTTTAGCATCACATGAAACCAGATGGTAGAGCTAGCTCAGGCAGGTTCAGTTACATTCAGTGATACAAAATGTGCTCTACCAAACTGTGCAGGACATTAAAGGCTTAACCCAATATGCTGCCAATGGCTGTTTTTTTTAAAATGGAGCAATTCTGGGGCTGTTTCTGGTTAAACAAGTAGGATCTTACTCTTTGACAAAAAGGTCTATCTCTGTTGGGATCCTTTCCACAATGTTGTCAGACATTTATAACAACAATCTGAGCCTGCCAGTAGCAAAAACACTTTTAGTAGACGTACATTTTTAGTACGAACTACCCAGAGTGGTTACATTGCAGCCTGTTGCGGTGCTACTGACTGCAGCAGTTTCCCTCAGAACTGGATCAATGTAAAAAATTGTTGTTCCCGTGATTCACACTGACCCAAAAACATGGGAAAATTAGGTCCAAGTCACCCTTTAAGATTCATTGCTGGTCAGGAAACTGTTTATTAACTCAAACTTTATCATCGATGTAAAAAACTGTATTATTTTTTTTATTATTTACAGAATCAGTTCTGCAAATATTCCCGCTTATACTGCGACTTATTTCCCATCACAGCATTTAACACACACTGTAAAGCTCCCTCAAGCATGAGGCCTTTATTTTGCTCCCAGTGGGAGCGTGGCAAAGTGAATCCTGGCTTTAAAGGTAATTGTAGCAGGCTGACATTCATGACAAGACAGTGAACACAGCGGTGCAGAGGTGAGAGTGACAATGGGAAACAAAACACAGTTTTCCACTTAATTGTTATTTTCAGCTGCTATAATCTTATTTGTTGTTTGGTTTGTTTTCTCTTTTGCAAACGGTGCCACTATTTAATTTAAGAGCAAAATGCAGTTACTTCTGACCCAATGATATTTTAAAATAAACTTTAATTCTGCAAAGAAACACATAAAATTCAGCAGAAGACAATATTGTTGAAGTCTGGCAAAAACTGCTTTTTAAAATAATAATTAAAGACCCACAAGGTAACTTCACAAGCTGGCTCTCACAGATGTTCGAGAGATTCATCAGACAGACTTTTCAATAATTACTAACTGCACATTTTCTGACTACATGTGATTTGTTCTCACCGGTTTACCACGAACAAGCATGAGCAAGAACTGCTGGAAGATCAAACTGACAGGCCTGTTCCAAATAACCTAATGGCTTACACTGTATTTTGGATCGTTATTGATAAGCTGGAGGCAATATAGAAAATACATCTAATCTGACTCAATAAAGAGATGACACAATAAAGTGAATGCCGTCCTGCCACATCATACATACAGCAGTCATAAATGGGTCAATCTTTTATGAATCCTACAGTATAGAACGTTTGGCTGTTTTAGGGGCAAGTATCAGATCGCTTCTTTTAAATCTGCATCTCGACAGATTTCTATTGATTTTACACTTGTTAGTCAGTTAGAGCTTGTCAGAAATCTACATGCTCATACAAATGGTCCGCCCATGGACACAGTCCAAAGCTAGTAGAGTATTCAGAAAGCTCAGACCTCCGCCAAGGCTGCATGGCCTAGTTGGCAACATTAACAAAAGTGAAAAATAATTCACGTATCCACCCACAATTCAGATCTGCTCCAAAATTTACTGTTATTTGGCCCATGCTGCACCCTTCCACCAAGTTTTTGGATAATCAAGACAGTAGTTTTTCCATAATCCTGCTGACAACCAACAAACAAGCCGAAAAACAAACCGAAAATGTGACGTCCTTGGCAACAGTATTAAGAAAGGTACCAGACTGTTTCTATAGTATAACACAACTGCACAAAAAGTTATTGGACTGCCATTTCCAGTGATCAGTAATGACATCAATAACAGGTGACAATGACTTTGTGACGATATATTTTTAATTGCATATAACATGCATTCATCAACAAGATTTTTTTATTTATTTTTTTTTTTAAGATTGTTTTTTTGGGGGCATTTTAGGACAGTCGTAGATTGACAGGAAAGATGGGAGAGTAAAGGCCCAAACATACTCAGGCGTACTATTAGGGGAGCGGACTCCGCGAGGAATGTCTGCAGTCATTCGGGCTTTCATAGTCGAGCGCACTTCCGCGTTGTAGTTTCCTGTAAAAATGTCCGTGAAAAATCCCAGCGATGTGAAAAATACATGCCGAGCAGTCACTGGTGCGAGGAGCGGAGTCCGCACGGTCGTAAAATCTGAGCTTTGCACGCACAGGGCTTGCAGACATCCGCTTTGAGTTTGTGGAGTCCGTTCCGCCCGAGTATGTTCGGGCCTTGAGGGGGGACGACATGCGGCAAAGGGCTGCTGCTCAGAATCCGAACTCAGCCTATGTAGGGTGCACATTCTACCAGGTGTAAACTGGCCGGTCTGAGCTCAACTCAAGCTGGCTGATGGTGTCACCTGCAACTCAGCTGGTCAAATCGCCGGCAGCTGGTTTTAAAACACGTTGCCTGTTTCAACAGCCAATCAGCTTGTAGCGAAGTTAAAATGACGACAGACTGCGTGTTTGCTTCCTGTGGCAGGGGACGGAGCACCTGCCACAGGTGGCACGGTGTGCCAGCGACAGAAGCTGTGTGTGCCTATGCTCCGCCCACACACACACATTCACACAGACTGATTAATTGGCGCTGGCTATTTATATTATTGCGGCGTATATATTATGAACACAGTCCATCTGATGCTGGTTTAGTTTCTGTTTTTCACCGTTTCATCACTACAGATGCAGCTGTAGCCAGTATCTCACTATCACTTTCCTCATTCATATTTTAAGAAGCTACAAATTATATTCAGCCACAAAATAAGTCTGAAAAGCTGCAAATCAGAACAGAAGTACAGAGAGTTGTTGACTAGAGATGATACACCATCTCATCTCGTTGACTTGGTGTGCACCAGCAGGTTTTTAGAACGCTGCAGAACGGCACATTCAAAGTAGTTGCCTGTTTCAACTCGTCTCGTCATGAATCTTTGGTCTGAACTGGGCGCAAAAAATCACACACTGGGCAGCATTATGCCTGCGAAGGTTCTTCATTGAGGCACGATCGCGGGATCACTGTGTAAACAGGGCTAAAGACAAACAGGTGCAGTTACAAGAACACAACTACCAGTAATTCAAGATTTGTCACTTGTTTGTTGTAGAGGATATTTCTCTATTTCTCTACATGAGCTCATGTGATCTACACAAGCCTGGCCTGATGTAAGACTGTGCTTGGCAACAGGGTGAAAAGAAGGATCAGGAGTTGTTAATTGTTAACGACAACACGTTGCCTTCACAACTTACAACAGCTGCTTTGAACTCGCAGCTGAAACGATGCCTAATATCTTGCAGTAAAATGATCCGGTTGATCCAGCCTCAATTAGGAGTGGACATAAAAGGTGAGCGGTGGAATACATCACGCGCTAGCTGCCAGACATGTGGACCTAGCCCAAGGCTGGTGTTAGCCACGGCAACCAGCATCTCTGATTTAACAGAAAACGTGCCAGTATCTTCAGTAGTGATGATTCCCAAACAGGAGCTTTGAAGCTAAATACTGGACAGTAGCTAGAAGCCAGATTTGTTGGTTTCATGGTGTAAAAACACAGGGAGACAGCAGTGAGGGCTAGCTGTCATGTGGATGGAGGATAAACTGCTGCCTCAGGAGCTCCTGTCTCGTTTGGGCCCCTAGTTGAACCGGATCGCTTCAGGTGAAAATCTCTCTTCAGATGAAAAATCTTTTAATCAAAGGGTAGGTTTTTAATGTAGCCCATCAGATTCTGTGTAAGCAGATTTTATTACTGACCAGGCATATATCTCACCTCACATTAATATCTCCGAGACAAGCTGCGGAGCAAAAAAAAACACAAACTTTTTTTCTCTCATGGTTAAAAGTCAGAAATCCGGCATTTTGAGATAAACGTGTGGTGTCTGTCTGCCACTGGCTTCACCTCCCTGTTACTGACACCAGCCACCTGGCCTACTAATGGAAGTCATTCCAGCGAGGCACTCTCCAAATACTAGTGTGTGTCACAGCTAATATGTTTGCCTCCTTTTTGTCTGCCTGTCGAAACAATATATCAGGTTGAGTTGGTTTTCACTCATTGTCAAAATAACTCTGTATGTGAAGTTTGCAGAAAATAATGGAGCCATGCAGAGACACACATATAGAGCATGACAGTCTACCTAACAGGCAGTCTGCGTGTTTCAACAGCCTGACCGAAAATATTTCCAAAGTTACTGTGATGGCAGGTTCACCAATTATACCCACAAGTCCTTTTTAAAATTTCATTCCCCCGAATCTGTACTGCTTTTACGATCATTATGGCGAGCCCCGAGGCGCTTCTGGAGCTAAATAACGGATGCACTGCTGCTGCTGCTGAGAAAATAACTAGAAAACAACATTACAACAGAGATGTAAACATGCGGCGCGTCAATCGTAGCCGAGCTGACACGTCTGCGTGATCTGTGACACCCATAATTAACTGTCAGCGGTGTCAGTGCTCGGCAGCGTTTCACATGAAGGTGAGTGCTCGACTAACTGGCTGAAGTCACCCTCGATGCACGTTTTAACAGCTAACAAAACTTCCTCTGTGCAGCAGCAGCAGCAGCAGCTCCAGGCTGTGTTGTTTCCATATGGGGTGATGATGCACTAAAACAAAGTTTGTCAGTGTGAGACGTTGATCTCCCACTATCACAGAGGACCATGTACCAACACGAACTCTGTCAAGGGCTCTGTTTATACTACCTGACTGTCTGAAAAAGGCTTCAGTGGTGGGCTTCTGCTGGTGACGTTTTAATCCCCTCCTGCACAGCATCACACACATAAATCATAAGACAGAAAATGTTAGGACAGAAGCCATAATCTAAACAGAAGCAGCGTTATCTGATGACTGTACTGTACACTTTACAGTAAACAAATGGGGAAAATGCCAGATTGAGATCATTTAATTGTCCGTTGCATTGCTAACGACCTCATTAACAGAAGAATGATGGGAAATCAGCATGGTCTGGGCAAGGAACCGCCTGTGTGACAGCCATCTGGCTACAATGGGGGGTGGGGTTGAGTGGGGGTTGGGGGACTGGTAAGTTAACACCACGGCCGTCACGACTTCCCAGCACAGGCCGAGAGCACCTCTAGATGGAAGAGGGGATTAGTATTTTAATGACCGATATAAATTCAACTTTCATTTGGATTATGATTTGTTAAAAGTCACAAAATGAGATTAAACGTATCCACTGAATGTCTCTGGATATTTTAACTGATATGGAAGAAATAAAAGAAGAAAAAGTAAGGGAAAATGGCAGGTTACCTTAAATGACACACCTTCAGTACATTTATAATCTATTTATGACGATACATTTCATACTGGGCTTGAATTTATCAAACATCTCAGAGTGAGAAATCAGTCCTTATTGGTCAGAAACACTCAGAGATTGATCAAAGATTTTTATACTGTTCCAGGATGCAAAGAGAGCACATGATCTCTGCAAAAAATGATGTTGTCATAGCCTTAAAATGAAGACTTCGGTCTGCAATGACCAAAATTTCAGCATTCAAACTTTATTAATTCAAATTGTTGGTTAGTCATCTATTTATTTAAATTGGAAATAGACACATTTTGCTTTAAAGGTCCAGTGAGTAGGATTTAGAGGGATATGCTGGCAGAAATGGAATATAAGTATGTAGCGTATGATCACCTGAACATAAGATTGGTTGTGTTTTTGTTAGTTTAGAATGAGCTGTTTGTATCTACATATGGAGCAGGCCCTCGTCTATGTAGATCACCATGTTGCACCATGTTTCTACAGTAGCCCAGAACAGACACACCAAACACTGGCTCTAGATAGAGACATTCATAGTTTTTTTATGTTGGCCACTGTAGTTAGAAGCCCATCTGGGACAAGCAGCACCAATAAAACGCTAATCTGTAAAGTGAAACTACTTTATTCAGCATTTCTACTGGTTTGAATCATCTGATGTGTTTGTTTTGTAGAGGAAGAGGACTCTGTGGACAATTCAGCTTGCTGGTTGTGGACAAATCAAGACGTTTGAAGGCGTCATCTTGGGCTTCGGGAAACACTGATTGACATTTTTTATCATTTTCTGACATTTTATAGACCAAACAACTAATTCATTAATTGTGAAATTAATCAACAGATTAATTAAACCAATTATTACCTGAAAGTATCCAACAGTTGTTTCAAAAGAGAGAAAGTCAACATGCTGTGAGAGGTGGTTTTATGTTCAAAGAACTGTCGGTGAGGACCGACGCCAACACTACACTGTATCTCAGATAAAGGAGTGAGTTTAAGGAACAGTTGTAGTGAGGAACTGAAAACATGTAGAACATTAAGTTTAAAAATAACGTATTGCTCAAAAATGAAAATGGATGATCAGACCGTAATTCTGATGTAGAAGAACAGGATAGCGGAACCTAAAGTGTATAGGTTGCCTTGTTTTTGATTGTTAAATATGATGTGCTGTTAAAAGGGTCGGTATTGTCGGGGCAAGATTTTAGAAGTTCACAATAGGTATTACAACACAAGCACTTTGTGAAGGCAGTTGACTCACAGTCACGTAGACATCCCGGCCTCAATAACACACACACCAGTGTTTCCTCATGGCTGAGTTGACAGAGGTGTAAAAATTGACAAAGACTAAAAGTAACGACATTCTCTGCATAGTTTTATTTTATTTCAGTGTTTTTTTTAACTACACAATGATGTTTCAGTCACCTTTTTTCCTGGAGTTTTGATTTTAAATTGAGTAAACTAAAATCTTTTTTTCACACCTAGTCTTAGTTAATAATAATTGCAGTGTGTTTTCGAACTGCTTGTAGATAGTTTGCATATACGAGCCCAGTGGTCTAACTTTACAGTACCAACTGTCTTTTACTGCATTGTGTTCGGGAGTCTATCTATCTGAGACAGTGACATCACACTCTAATAGGAGAGCTACCCCTTGCTGAAAGTAAGTGCAGGAAGAATCTTAAATGAGCCTCATGTTTTTCTCTGAGGTAAGTTTAAAAACAAACATCAATAATCAGATTTCTACCACTAATGCAGAACAGTGCTCCTGATGAAATGGAAAGTAGCACCTCAGGACGGCATACATACCTATGAATAAACTTCTGCATGACTCTGCTGCAGACAGTGGTTGGTACTCACTGCCCATATTTCACTCTTTGCTGTGGTTGAGAGACGACTACTTCCACTCACTCCTGAGTACTTCCAGATACCAGCAGTTTCTTCCACTTCCTGTTAACATTCCTCTGTTTGCTCTCGCTGAGCTTACACGGACACTGAGGGACGACTCAGCGTGTCAAAACTGAAATTTACTGCTGTTTATCTGGACTTTCTACTGCTGCACTCACTGTCAGCTGATCGCTCTGTGTTTTTGTTTTTGAGGAAGTTATGAAAATGGGCAGCCAATCACAGCTGCACTCTGGAGCACGTCAGGACAGGAAGCCAGATGGAAAAAAAAAGACAGAGAAAAAGAAGCTCTCTAGTGAACTGTGTGTCTGTCAGGACTTTATAAAAACAAATGTGAGCGAGAAAGTGATAGTTGTAAAACACCACAAAGGTAGATTCAGCCTCATGCACAGTTTGGTTTAAGAGAAAATAATCTAAGCTTGGCAAGATTTCATAATGAAGAAGAGACTGCTTTCTTAAAAACAGCACTGTGTTGCAACAAACCATCGTGCATGCTCACTGCTGGGAAATGACTAACAGATCTTGGAATTTCCCCACACATCTTTCTGCACATTGACAACATACAAACACTAACGGAAAGTTCCAAAGAAGCAGCGGTGACATTTATTTGTACCTTTAGCAGCCTACATCCTGTCACTGTTCCTGTCTTAAAACCTGATTTTAATTAAGTCAATGGTCTTTTAAAGCTTAAAGGTGACCTTCAGCTTAAAATAATCTTGTTGTGGGTTCAGTACTTGAATGCACCAAAAATTGCATGAGCTTCAAAAAAGGTAAAAAAATAAGATTGTAACGTGTCTATCAGTGTGTAGCAGCTTAATAATAACAATAATACTTAAATTTATATAATACACATTTATAATTATACTTTTAGTTCAAAAACAAACCGACAAAGTGCTTGATTAAAAAGATTGACATTATTCAAAATCCAGAAACGTAAAAATGTCATAACATAAAATGATAAAATAATCCCAACAAATATCCATAATCCAAAGGTAAATAAAAAGTTAAAGAGTTGTATTTTTTCAAACTTTCCAAACAGGACCGTTGCCGGCCATTTGGGTGCCCTAAACGTTAGCAGCTCTGTCTTGCCCTTGTAAAAATTAGGGGTGTAATGGTACACAAAAATCACAGTTCGGTACACACCTCAGTACACAAGTCACGGTTCGTTTTTTTTCGGTACAGTAATGAAAAAAATAGACAACTATTAAATATCTTTTACTTATTGGTAACCTAATTAAAAAATACCACCACAGCAGTTAACTCTTTTTACACAATTTTTGAATGAAACAAATATATATAAAATCCTGCTTTTTCACATTGTTTGAATGAAAATAGAAATATAAAAGTGAAAAATAAAATCCTGCTGTTTTTTTAACACATTTTTTGAATGAAAAATATAAATATAAATTTCTGCTTAAACAATTTTACTCAAATAAAATAAAAAGTATAGTGCAGCTGGTCAGCTTTAAAACCTGCTCAGATTCAGTTTTACTAGTAACTTACTTAGCTTTCCCACTTTGTTAAAGTGCAGTAAACAAAACATGCTTATATCTAAAGTGCAGCTTAAACAATTTTACTCAACTCCAATGGCGTTGGTTATTTCTTTAGCGCGATCAGAATGGTCAGGGAAACGCTCTTTCTTTTTAAACGACGACGATATCGTAGTTTGCACCAGATTGCTCTTTCTAGTCGTGCCGGTTAACGTTCAAACTCGGGTGGTGTCGCTTTAGATGCGTTAGCATGTTAGACGTGTTTCCAAGTACATACCCGACCGCTGTTCTGCAGTGTCGGCACACTGCTTTTGTCTTGTCCACTTGTTTATTTCCATCTTCGTATTTTACCCTGAAACCAAAGTGTTCCCGAACGGAGGACTTAAGGTTTGCGGGTGGGTCTTCAGGTTCGTCAAGCTCACTTGCCATGTTGTCAAAATGCAAGAATGCGCTGCACAAAGTGAAAGCGGAGATTTATGGTCGGACTCGGTCCGTCACTCAATTATGTCCGTCGGGGAACTAGATACTTTAAATGGTTCGGCTCGCAAAATCGGAATTAAAATAAAACAAAATAAAATAAAATATCCTGCGCCCAATAATTCGGTACAGGGTCGTGCCAAACCGAAAGTCGCGTACCGAACGGTTCGACACAAATACACGTACCGTTATGGCTCTAGTAAAAATAGTACCTAAAATAGTGTGAGGTTTACCAAATACGACAGTTTAATTCTCTTAAAAGTGAAACATGCTGCTAAAATAGACCAAAATATAGAATAAATTGAACTTGTCCATTGCTTGTCTAAGTATATTTATTTTCCCATACTTAGCATTCAAAGAAATACAGTTATGTTCAAACATATGAGATTATAATTATAGTTTTATTTATAATACCATACGTTAATACTTGAGCTAACTGGCTCTACCCTAAATTCATCCTTTTTATTTTTATTTTATTTTTTTGTGTCATGCTGAACATTTGACCCATCCCACATGGAATTACGAGGACAGCAGAAACAAAACTGAACTCATTTTCTACAGACCAAATGTTTGTTTACACTAACTTCCGGGTAGAAAACCCTGCGTAATGTGCATAAAATGAAACGGTGCTGAGCAAGCACTGTCTCCACTGGTTAGTTTTTAGTCACCTAAAAAAGTACGATCACCACCGCGCAATTGTATGCCTCCGCACACCAGGCAAGTTGCTCTTGCACTTTACTTCCATGTCTGTGAGAACATGGATGCTTCAAACATCATTCCCCCAGCAGCACAGAAGATCTCTACCTTGATCTTTGACCAACAAATCATAATTGGTTCATCATTGAGCCCAAGTGGACGTTTGTGCCAAATTTTAATAAACTTCCTCAAGGCCTTCTTGAGGTACTGCATTCATGAGAATGAGACAGAGGCAAGGTCACAGTGACCTTTGACCAGGAAAATCTAATCAGTTCATCATTACATTCAAGTGGACATTTGTGCGAAATGCCACAGTGACACTGACCCTTGACCTATGACCACCAAAATCTAACCAATTCATTGCTGAGTCCAACGTTTGTTCCAAATTTGAAGAAATTCCTTTGGGGACGGACAGATGGATGGACGAACGGACCTTAATGACTCTGTAAGAGTTCACACCCACACAGAGTTTGACGCCTCTGACTCCGCACCAGGCCGTTAGAAATGAAGAAGTCTCTTGAATGAGAGGTGAAACGTCTTCAAGAAACACAAGCAATGCCCAGTTGCCTACGACCTGAAAAACATAATGCCTCCAGCCAAGGCCATCGCCGGCACGGAGGCATAGAGAAGGCCCATCTAAAAAAAATTAGTATCAATGTACGCTATATTTAGAATTTTTTTTACCACTTCACCTTGTCGCCATACAGCCCTTTCAAGCAGGGAACTGAAGCTGTTTATCTCAGTTGACAAAAACAGTAATTTACTAAGCAGAACAAGGGAGTTGCTGATCTTCCGTTGCCTCCATCAGTTAGTGTGTAAAGTAAATGCAAAATAGCTGATCAGCCAATCACGTGGCAGCAACTCAATGCATTTAGGCATGTAGACATGGTGAAGATGACCTGCTGAAGTTCAAACTGAGCATCAGAATGGGGAAGAAAGGTGATTTAAGTGACTTTGAACGTGGCAGACAGGCTGGTCTGAGTATTAACTAGGATTTTCACACACAGCCATCTCTAGGGTTTACAGACGATGGTCCGAAAAAGAGAAAATATCCAGCGAGCAGCAGTTCTCTGGGTGAAAATGCCTTGTTGATGCCAGAGGTCAGAGGAGAATGGCCAGACTGGTTCAAGATGATAGAAAGGCAGTAACTCAAATAACCACTGGTTACAACCAAGGTGTGCAGAAGACCATCTCTGAACCAACAACACATCCAACCTTGAAGCAGATGGGCTACAGCAGCAGAAGACCACACCAGGTGCCACTCCTGTCAGCTAACAACAGGAAACTGAGGCTACAATTCACACAGGCTCACCAAAACTGGATAATAGAAGACTGGAAAAATGTTGCCTGGTCTGATGAGTCTGGATTTCTGCTGCCACATTCAGATGGTAGGGTCAGAATTTGGTGTAAACAACATGAAAGCATGGATCCATCCTGCCTTGTATCAACGGTTCAGGCTGGTAGTGGTGGTGTAATGGTGTGGGGGGGATTTTCTTGGCACACTTTGGGCCCCTTAGTACTAGGGATAGACCGATATGGATTTTTTAGGGCCGATGCCGATACCGATTTTTTTTCCATCACCCTTAGCCGATGACCGATTATGGACTGCCGATTTTCTTGAGCCGATATTTGGGGCCCGATACTGCTTTTGCTCCCTCAATTTACATAAAAAAAAATGACACAATGATAACAAATATTACAGGTCTCAAGTTTAAAATAAGAAACATTTATTGAACAGTAAAAAATACTAAAACAAGATGGAAAGTTGAGGTAGAACAGGTAGAATATTATTATTATTATTATACATTCAAATAAAAAAAGAGTTCAGTGCTCTTAAATCTTCCGGTAATGTCTTTATAAAATAAACAAATATTTAAGCTGAAGCATAAATAAAACAACAACTACTGTACACAGTAGGATTCAACAGCTTTGTTCAACTTAACCACATACTTTGAAATCCGCGAACCCACGCATGTATCGGCCGATGCCGATACAAGTAAAAAACTCAAATATCGGCCCGATATATCGGCCGGCCGATGTATCGGTCTATCCTTACTTAGTACCAACTGAGCATGGTTTAAACACCACAGCCTACCTGAGTATTGTTGCTGACTTTATATGTCATCTACATGAATCATCAGCTGGTTAGAACACAGGCTTCCTGTCTGGACGTGCAGCTTTAGCTTTCGTCTTTTAGCACTTTATCATGCACATAGTCATCCTGTGCATATTTATGACCCTTTTTTTAAACAGGATTTTTGTATTGAAATGATCACAGTTTAACTTAACACAGATGCAAAATGTGAAGAGGTCCATGCCTTCTCTAAAAAAGCACTCAGCTCCGACTAAAAAAAAAACCTTGGAGAAGTTGTTGGTACGGGATAGGTCTACACTCTGCCTAATTAAATGGCACGTCTCCTACTATTCATGAAGAGCACTTATTAAAACAAGCATTCACATCCAATCCACTAGATAAATGACTTAACACCAAGTGCCAT